CAGCCCCTCTGAAGCACCATCACACCTTCAGTGGGGAAGGAGCTGGGAGACCTGGCTATTGGGACGCGCTGGGCTGGGCGGGCCCTGAGCAGAGACGCAGACACAGCCGTGTCCCTGTCCCGTGCGGGAGCAGGAACCCTGGTTCCGCCATTCACTGGGCGGGTCGCTCTGAGCTGGTGACCAACCAGCGAGCCTGTTTCCTCATCTGCAGGATGGGGCAATAGCGGCTCACAGAGCGGTGTGGGGCCCCGGTCAGGAGACATGGCTGCCGGGCACCCTCCCAGGTCCCAGCGGCTCCAGGACTGGCTGCTGCCCTGGGGGATGGCGGGGGATGGGCCCCCTGACACCCACTAGTTATCTGCTTGGGTCCTCCAACACCCGGCACCACTGTCCCCATCTCTCAGAGGAGCTGCCACAGCCCAGCAGCCAGCTCTTCTGTCCCCACCCCAGGCCAGCCCTCGGCACTCCGTGGGGGTCTTCCCCAGCCCCAGCCGCCCCTTCCTCCCACCCCGGGCCCCAAGCTGTTGCACCCACTGTTGGCTGTCAGTCAGGACAGTCACCCCCTCATTCCCAGTGGCCAGAGAGCAGGTAGGGGGAGCCAGGCAGTGGCGGCGCAGTCCTGGCCAAGCCCACCCCTCCCTGCAGGGAGGCTCCTCCTTCTGAGGCTGCTTCTGGGAATTCCCATCCCACCACCTCAGGCAGATACCTGCTGCTCACCCGTGGGGAGTGGGCACCGGACCCAAGCGGGAGAAGCTGGCCCCCAGAGGGGAGGAGGGGCACTCCCGCTGGGGTCGGAGCCCACAGGGCCAGCCTCCTATTGAGAAGGCTCCAGCAGCCCCAGCCCCTGCGCTGGGAGCCCCGAGAGGTTGGCAGCCCCGCCGGTGGCCGCTTTGCAGTCTCACTGGCCGGGAAGGTGGACACATCACACCTCAGTCTCACAATTACGCCCTCCTCCCCCTCCTCCACCTCCTCCTCCCTCTCTCTCTCCTCCTCTTCCCCTGTCTCTCCTCCTCTCCCCCCTGAAAACCTCTGCCTTGAAGAGACCTTGGCTTCTCTGGGGCTCTACCCTGGGGACTGCCCACATCTTCTCCCGACTCTGGGGGCAGGGGGGCCACTGCCCCAAGAAGCCTCTCCGGCGATGGAAGCCGCCCGCCTGCTGCCCAACTTCACTCTGTAAGTGCCGGCCTTTCCGACCGACAAACGACAGACAAACGGGAGTTTTGTTGCCACCTCCAGCCTGCGGCAGCCCCAATCTCACCGGGACTCCCACACGGACTGGCGGGTGGGGCGGGGGCGGCGCCGGTGCGCCCTGGGCTGGCTGCTGGCACCCACACCTGGGTCTGCCTCGTGTCCTCACACAGGTGCCTGCAGCTACTGATTCTCTGCTGTCAAACTCAGGTAGGCAACCTGCCCCCCTGCCCGGGAGCTTCCAGCTTCTCCCCATGTCTCCCACCCACCGAAGGGGGAGGGGCAGTCTCCTTTCTTTGGACAGAGAAGTTCTGGCCTCTCTCTGGGGTGTGAGGGGGTCCAGCTCTGAAGGGGAGCAGGAAAGGGGCTACCGCAGATTTGGGGATCGACTGAGGTTTTTATCGGTGTTCTTCCCCATGACCCTCCCTGCTCCCCCTGGGGTCTCTGCCTCGCTCGGCATCCCTCCACACTGGGTCACCCCAAGGCGAGGTGCAGAGGCCACACAGACTTGAGGGATGGAGCCGGGAGTGGCTGGAAGAGGGTGGAGGTGATGGCTCAAGTGAGGCTTGTACCTGAGAGGACAGGTTTCCATGCAAAACCACCTGTGTATGCCACTCCTGACCGCACTCCCACCCACACAGGTGTCCTGGGGGGTGCTGTCCCGGGGGGTGCTGTCCTGGGGGGTTATGGGAGCAGAGGGCCCAACCAGGGCAGGTGACTCCAGACACAATGAGGTCAAACCCAAAAGGGGTTGTCTGAGACCAGATTCAGGGTCTGCTTCTCCAGGCTCCCCCACCCAAGCCTGCCCCCCATGCCCACCTCCCCCTGCCCAGCTGCAGCTCGAGGCTGGTCCCTTTTTGTGATCCTCCATAAAAGTGCAGCTATTAAAATGCACTGGTCCAGAACGCGCTGGGGACACGGCTTGGCTTTCCCAGGCCAGGGGCCGCTTCTCTTCGTATCCAGTGGGGACTTTTTTTGAAGGTAAGGCCTTTTCTCTGCGAGGGAAAGAGGCTGCCTTTGAAGCAGTGGGGGGGTGGGAGAGAGAGACACCCCCCTTTTCCTTCCCACTTTTGCTCAAGCCCCCGTTCCAGGCCTTTTGCTTCACACATCCAGAGAGAGCCAGAAGAAAGCCCCCAGCCGGGCCGGGCGGGGGTGGGGGTGGGCCCAACCTGTTCTGGAAGGGGAATTAGCACAATGGTGCGGCTGGCCTGGCGTTTATGGCCTGGCTGAGGCCCCATTCAGGATTCGGGGAAGGTGGCAAAGCTGTCCTTTCCCCCTTGAAGTGCCCCCGCACCCCCCTGGAGGGGGCCCCGCAGGCCGGACCACAGCCATGCTTGAGGGGCCGGCTGACAAGCAGCTGTCTGCGGCACTGGAAGGGGAGGTTCCCCACAGCGGGAACATGAAAGGGACAGGCAAGGTCCCGCGGGGAGAGCGACTTGTGGGCTGTGGGCTGTGGGGGGGCGTGGGGCTGCCTTTGTGCAGGGCTTGAAGGGGGATGAGGAGAGGAGGGGGCTCTGGGGGGGCCTCTCTGCTCCTGACCTGGAACAGACGGCCAGGAGGAGGCTGCCCGCCAAGAAGGGCGGAGGGCCTGAACCTGGGCCAGGCGGCTGGGGCTGGGGGCAGGCGGACCCCACCAAGGGTCCTGGGCCAGCCAGACCCCTCCTCCTGGCAGGGAGGCAGGTCTCCCGCCCCAGATTCAGGCCTCGGGTTTTTCGAGGGAGGCGCATGGGGCGGGCTGGGGTCCTGGCCTGTGGACAGCTCAGGTTGGAAATGAGCAGATGCTCGAAGGGTTAACCCCCAGCAGGTCACACTGTCAGCCTCAGGCTGCTCCCTCGCCTCCCCTTCCTCAAAGCCAACACTCCCACCTCTCCCTCCAGGAGAGAGGGGCCCTAACAGATGCCGGTCCAGACCTAGCTCTGTCCAGAGGGTTGGCCTTAGGGGCTGGGACCGGGAAAGGCTGTCCCAGCAAGGCCGCGGGTCCAGGTGGAGAGAAGCATTTCGGTGCCGGCGCTGAGGCGGTGGCAGCAGCTGGGATGCAGTCAGGCTGCACCTGGCTGCAGAGGCGGGAAGGGAAGAGGTCCCTCCGGCTCAGTGCGGCAGCGGGCTAAGGAGAGCCAGGTACCCTCCTGCCTTTGTTTGCAGGCGGTGTGGGCGGAAGAGCCCCTCCCCCCGCCTGGAGGAGCGGGTGGGTGGCGGCATGGCTGGCCAGGATGCCCACCAGCCTCTGTTACATTGTGCCCCAGGCAGGTGGCCTCACGGGAGCAGCCCTTGGACCACTGCTGACAGCACCTTTGCAACTCTTTGGCCTCCCTTCACTAAGGAGGTGCCGCACCCATGCAGGAGGGAGGAACACTGGAAGGGGGTCTGGCTTCTCTGAGGGCCCTGAGCACCCAGGGGAGAGGCAGGGGAGCGGGCACAGCTCAGGACCCCACAGGCTACTAAGACATGCTTCCAGGGGCCGCAGAGCTAGAGACAAGGGTCTTACAGCCCCACAATGCTCGCCAGTGACCCTAACAGACCAGCGCTGTGTGTGCATGTGCGTGTGCGTGTGTGCACGTGCTGGGGTGGGTCCTTCAAGGCTAGCGGGGCGGATGGAGGAAAGCCGGCTGTCCTGGCTAACAGAGCCAACGCCCGGAGTTCTGGAGGGGTGGCAAGCTCCACGCAAGAGGCAGGACAGGGTTCTGTCTCTCATTAGCCGTGTGGCCTGTGCACCTCCTCCATAGAATACGGGGATCAGATACAGAACTGCAGGCTCCCTCCAGCTCCCAGAGTCACGACTCCAAGTCTGCACTCTGTCACCAGGAGTCCTCAAGCCTGCGCAGCCAGCACTTCTCTGCTGCAGGCTGGACAGGGAGCCGAGAGGTCATGATTGGCTCACCCACTGGCCGGAGAAAGTCTTGGCTGTATGCCCCCTTCACCCTGCACCGCGACCTCCCAGGACAAATGGCCTGCCCCGCCACACTCACCTCTGTACCCCTCTCCCCTGGATGGACCAGCGGTGGTGTCACCCAAAGCAAATTGACACTATTTTTCCCTTGGTAACCGCAAAGGGGGAGAATCACCCGTCTCCTAATTTTAACCAGTACGTGAGGGACCAGGGCGCCATGACCGACCAGCTGAGCCGGCGGCAGATCCGTGAGTACCAGCTCTACAGCCGGACCAGCGGCAAGCACGTGCAGGTGACCGGGCGTCGCATCTCCGCCACCGCTGAAGACGGCAACAAGTTCGGTGAGGCCCAGCCTTCACCTGAGGCCACCCACACCCCTGGCCGGCTTCCCCTGGTCCATCCCAGATCTTGTGTCAGGGCCTCCCCATGTTCCCCACCTGAGGTCGGAGGTCAGGTGGGTTGTCGGGGATGGGGGGCTTCCACCCCTGGGCTTGCAACCCTCATAGACAGAAGTCTCTCCCTCTTGACAGCCAAGCTCATAGTGGAGACGGACACCTTTGGGAGCCGGGTGCGCATCAAGGGGGCTGAGAGCGAGAAATACATCTGCATGAACAAGAGGGGCAAGCTCATCGGGAAGGTGAGGCTGCAGGACAGAGCAGACCCTTGACTGGGTCCTCCTGGGGTGGGGTGCCCCGGGCCAACAGCATCCCCATTGCAGGGTGACGGGGGACATGACTCTCCTGCTCTCACCCACCACTGTCACTCTGTTCTCCGTGTCAGTGAGTCCCTCCGGATTGACAAGCACTCTGAGGACACTGACTGGTCCACAGGGCCCTTGCTCAGATTCCTGGGGCATTTCCCAGCTCAATGAGTAAGAATTTCAGCACCTACATAATGTTGCAGCCCCTGTGTTGTGGGTTAAGGGCTAACTGGGGTTGAAAGTGGGCATTCAGACCGGGTCAGAAGCTCCCCCAAGGTCAGTGGACTCCACGGACCCAGCCAGTGAGATGCACACTGACCACCTGCTAGTGTAACCGCGCACCTAGTGGGACCGCGTGCTGGTATAACCTACGCTGCGGTGGTGGGTCCAGCACCGTTGAGCAGGAGAACTCCATTTCTTTAGCATTGGTCAATCCTGGCTTCCGGTTCTGGCTGTTCTCACCAAATATTTACTTATTTTTGTCAAGCCTCGGGCTACTCATCTATAAAAATGGGCATAGCATCAGGGTTATCTATAAAGTCTAAGGCAGTGGTTCTCAACCTTGGCTGCACATTAGAATCACCTGGGAATCTTTTTAAAATCCTGATTTCTGGGCCCCATCCTCCGGAAATTCTGTTTCTTTGTTACTAATGTTGTGGCCTCGCCCCATAACAAAGAAACAGAATTTCCGGAGGATGAGGCCCAGAAATCAGGATTTTAAAAAGCTTCCCAGGTGATTCTAATGTGCAGCCAAGGTTGAGAAACACTGGTCTAAGGGCTGCCTGTATGGCTCTAACACAGTTGGTGTCCATACATGTTTGCCCCTTCTTTTCATCAGAGCACGGTGCCTCCTTCCCCTCCACCCAGCAACGCCATCCCCCGACCGCGGACTGCCCACTGGTTAAGCAGGAAACCACACAATCCCCTACTTCAGCGGTTCTCAACCTGTGGGTCGCGCCCCCTTTGGGGGTCGAACGACCCTTTCACAGGGGTCGCCTAAGACCATCGGAAAACACATATATAATTACATATTGTTTTTGTGATTAATCACTATGCTTTAATTATGTTCAATTTGTAACAATGAAATTGGGGGTCACCACAACATGAGGAACTGTATTAAAGGGTCGCGGCATTAGGAAGGTCGAGAACCACTGCCCTAGATCTTTACGTCTCATCCTGGTAAACTGAAGCTCCGCTGGCTGAATGCCTGGCTCGAGGTGCACAACTTCCAAACGACAAGCCTGCCTTTAAGTGCAGGTCTGACTCCAAGCACAGCCTGTCCCTCTCTCCCCACGCGGCCTCCCCAGCCAGGGCACCCCCTCACCAGGCAGAAACCCTGGGGCACCCGGAGGCAGAGCCGCCGGGAAGGGTGGATGGGCAACCTTCCCTCCTCTCCTTCTTTCCCTGGCAGCCCAGCGGGAAAAGCAAAGACTGCGTGTTCACGGAGATTGTGCTGGAGAACAATTACACGGCCTTCCAGAACGCCCGGCACGAGGGCTGGTTCATGGCCTTCACGCGGCAGGGCCGGCCGCGCCAGGCCTCCCGCAGCCGCCAGAACCAGCGGGAGGCCCACTTCATCAAGCGCCTGTACGAGGGCCAGCTGCCTTTCCCCAACCAGGTCGAGAGGCAGAAGCAGTTCGAGTTCGTGGGCTCGGCCCCCACCCGCCGGACCAAGCGCACGCGGAGGCCTCAGCCCCGGACGTAGTCAGGGACACCGGGGTGGCAGCTGTCCCTCCTCAGCCTTCCCGTCCCCTCCCCTTCCTGATCCAAAGATGGGGCTGGGGTGGAGGGAGGGAAGCCGGAGCCCCCAGGAGGTCCCGAGGACCAACAAGCATCAGCGCCCAGGCTGCCCAAGCTGGACGGGCCTCAGGCCGCCTCCTGGACCCCTCCAGGGCCGCTGGCATGGGCCCAGGGGTGTGGCGGGCCCAGGAGAGACGCTGTAGTGTCCCCCCACCCCCACCCCGACGACACAGACTCACTGGGCCGAGGGGGAGGGCAGCAGGTTCAAGGCCTTGCAGACTGTGGGGAGGTGGCTCTTCTCAACTCTGCGCCCGGGTGTCAGTCTGCCCCCGCCTCCAATCTCCTCCCGGCCAGCC